TGTTTTCAGTATTTCTAAATTCTTCTTGCATTAGTTGCTTTTCTGTGATGAATGGTTGTGTAAGGTGTCAATTTGGCTATTTGGCTACACTTTGTGAAATTGATTTTCTTTAAGCTGAGTTATATTAGAATAGATTTTATTCTTTACAGAAATAGACAGCAGATGTTGTGGAGAGCAACAATCTGGTAAGAAATTAAGAGTAACTCAATGACCACAATTTAAGAAACATGGATTCATTATATTGTATCAAGCTAGAAAAAACATTTAAAATTTTAGAAATGTTGAGTGCTGACTCTTGAGCTCGCAGACATCACTTCCCCCTCAAAGGATGTGCTTTTGCAAATCATTTTATTTACCTTGATTGTGCCTTTTGATTAGTTAATTGCTATAGATATACTGATACTTAACATCCTTTGACTTAAAGCTTGTTTATTTGTACATTTTCTCCTCTTTTTTTCTCATCTTTTTAAATTAGGAGTCTAGTGATGATATCATGTGGAAAACTTATTGACCTTTATCCCCATATTACTCTTCTTGGCTCCTTATCTGATCTTGCAAAAACCTCTCGCCTCACCGTTTAAATATTAATCCAACATGCAACATGTATTAGCCGAGACCGATAAGTTTTTTATCATGTTGAAATGTTGAGATTTTTCTTGAGTCTTGTAAGATTTTTTTTTTTTTTCAGATGTTCTTAGTTGCAGTTACATGTGGGAATACATTTGTCCTAAAGCCATCTGAGAAAAATCCAGGTGATTTGTGGCTCTTCTGCATTGTTTTTACATTATAATATTTTTGAAATTCAAGTTGTTTGGAAAGAAAGCTTATAGATTTGTGCTATACATCCAGTAGAGTAGGAAATTGGCAAAAACCTGTTTCTGATGATGATCTTTACTGTTATGGTTGTGACTTGTGCGATTATCTCCTCTCAAAAATCTTGTACATACACAAAACTACTAAATGAAATAATGCCCCTCTCTTTTACTACTGACATCATGTATATTATTTTAGGCATTCGAAACTTGATGAGTTGTAAATCTTGTGATAAGCTCCTAAGATGCTTTGGTTTATGCCCCAAACTGCGAACGATGTGATAATAAATTAAGGGTCGTTAAAGTGGAGCATATCATTTCACTTTATACTGAATATTGTACATCCTATGGTTTCTAAAGAGGCTTCTATTAGCTTCTTATAACTTATATTATCTTATTTTACATTTTATTTTTAGCAAAATAAGTTCAGATAATTCGGCTTAGTTCAGATGAATCTGAAAAGACAAGTTCTATAGTGAAAGCAAGTTAAGATAATACAAGTTTAGATAAACTAATATGAACCAAACAAGGATATTCAAGAAGGAGATTAGGTTACCATTAGGTGAGGAGAGGTCGAGGAGGGGATGTAGAGCTACCCTATTGATTTGGCTTTTGAGTTACATTAAGGGTCAGCCTGCCACTTTATGCAAAAATCTTAGATGACTCAGCAGGATGGTACTAGATGGTTTCATGGCGTGTCCTGTTTGCTGATGACATTGTTTTGGTGGATGAAAGAGGAAAAGATTCCAAGGCCAAAAATGTTGGTATAAGTTAAGAGTAATGCTTACAATCTCAGTATTTGTGTTAAGAGATATGAGATATCTTTTGCGACTATGGTGATCAGTAAAGTGTTTGGTGAGTTAGGATTGGTAGAGAGCTATACTTTAGAAGGAATGCTTGAGATAACTTATATATCTGAGGGTTCCAGAAGATGATTAAGGCCATCATAACATTGTGGAAACATATTAAGTTCATTGGGACTTTTTTTCTGGTGGCTCAAGGCAAGCTTAATTTACGGCGCAAAGGGATGATAGAGCAAGTTTTGGTCATAACTTATTAATTTCGATGATAAGGATGCTTCATTTTATTTGTGGCTTTACTAGGAATTTAGTAAGTAACGAGCTCATGAGGGCATGGCTTTGACTTTTAGTACTGGAATGCTGAATGTGAGAGGTAAGAATCAAGGTTGGGTACTGCAATAAAGAGTGATAAAATTGTGAGGAAATTGAGAATAGGGCCAAATGCTTCACTTGAGCTCTCAACAGATACATACCAATACTTGAAACGTATTATGGTGCTCTTGGATAATATAGTGGACCGTAGTGGGGAGGTCCCTCCTCCTTTGGGTAATTTGGTGTTATAATCCTTCTAGATTATATGCAAAATTTCTCTTACTCACCTTTTGATGCATGTTTACTCTCTGTTTCCAGAATGCCCTTCTATCTACATTTTCTATCATCTTGATCTATCCACACCTTTCTCTAATTACAAGTTTACTATTGAAAGGTGGCAGATATATATTATCATTGAATGCTTGATATTGTCTGTAATCCCACTCATAGACTAGTGTTATTTACATTCTTGCATTTTGTTTTATCCTAGGTGCTTCAATGAAGCTTGCAGCATTGGCCATAGAGGCAGGCTTTCCTAATGGAGTCTTAAATATTGTTCATGGAGGCAATGTAAGCTCTCTCTCTCTCTCTCTCTCTCTCTCTCTCTCTCTCTCTCTCTCTCTCTCTCTCTCTCTCTCATATATAACAATACTTAGCAGGTTGTGATGCCAATAAAGGTCATCATGATAACTTTTTTGCCATTTCAGTTTAAGTATGTCCTAGCTATTTAGATTTCCTTTGATTACATATTTTGCTTTTCCTGATTTGGGTTCTTTAAGCTTTCCACATTTTTTTATTTTATTTTTTTTTTCTTGTAAATTTATTGATGAAAAATTATTTGAACAGGACATCGTTAATTATGTATGTGATGATGACGACATAAAAGCCATATCATGTGTTGGCTCCTATAAGGTAAGTTATTTCCTTAATATTTGAGTAATGACTTCTTTGGTTGTTTCAAGTTTCTCAGAATATCAGCAAATTCTGATACTTAAGATGTTATAATTCAACATTACTTTTTTCAGCTTTGAAGTGCCTGTATCTGGTCACTGACCTCTCTGTGACATGCAACAAGATATTCTGTTCTTCCCTAGAGATATCATAGGTTATTATTTCTCCCTTTTTTATATCAGATGATAGAAAAATTATGAGTTGGAATATGTGGTTTTGTGAATCATTGTTCTGAAGGTTTTTTTTTTTGTGTGTGTGTTTGTGATGACTTTGAACACTTTTGTGTTGTGAGCAAATTAGCTCTTCCTAATTTGAGTAATGATTATGAAGTCTTAATACATTTCTGCTATCAAAGAACAGTGTAAGGCTTTATACTTTAGCAGTCTTAGAATCTTCCTAAAAAGTATAAAGATAGCTACTACAAAATCATAGTATATAATTGTACTATGATAACAGCTGGCAGAAAATAAAGAAACGCATGCACATAATATTGGAAGGCTGGGCTGGGCTTGGCTGCATCAAAATTGTGACTAGCTTCTGTACTTCTATAGACTTTAATTGTTACTACCTCAATGACTTCTGTCTAATGTTCATTCTGCTTCAGCTACTCATTCAGTACAAGCATCGTTTATTTACTACTCTTTTCTTTATAATCATCTTTTGTCATAGGATTGTATGGACATATTTGCTAAAGCAACTATCAACGGGAAACGTGTTGAGGTAAAAATTTCCACCTGTATCTTAGCAAGTTATTTTTGTACTTGTCCACACATCATTTTCTGTTAAAATGTATCTATACATAACAATATACATCGTAACATTAACCTTCACGTTACTGATTACTGAATCTAAGATGGCGGCTTTTCTTACTCTAGGACATATCTGGCAACTTAATTGTTTGTGTAGTGGTCTATTGATTTGTTACTTGTTAGAAGTTGGATGTTGTGTATCACTCTCTTTGATTTAAAATACTCACTCATTTGGTTTGGGTACATTTATCGAGGGAGTACAAGGTGGGCCATTTTTTAAAAAAATTATAAAATAAAAACAGGATGAGTATTTTGCAATAACTCAAAATGGCAAAATTGGGTGAGTATTTTGCAATGAAGGAAGTATCTTGGTGTAACTAATAAATTGAAGAAAGATGCTCAGAAAATTCATGGCAGCAGTTGACTGTAGATTTACATAAAATGATCTGAATAATGGACAGAATTAAATGCTATGAAATTGGATAAAGCATAGTTTGGATGGAAATTATCTCTTCTGACCACTGAAAAGTGAAAACCGATCTGATTAGATTTCGACAAACATTATCCAAACCTCTAGCTTTTGTCCTGAAACTGCATTTTATTAAACACAAAAAATTGGGGTGATTAGATGATTGACACTTATATCACCATCTTATACAAGCACAATTCCTAAAACTAGTGCTGTGCATACCAATATAGTAATATTTTAATCATTGGACTTTATACTTGTTTTCATTTTCTTACATTCCTTTATCTTTGAACATGTTATATTGTGAGCTATTAGGCAACAACCTCCAAGTTAGTCTTGACTAGTTTGGGTAAGACTGCCATATTGATCTCCCCAGACTTGCTAATTCTTGGGTTTATGTTTTAAAAAAATATATATAATTAATTGTTTTAGTTGAATATAGTGTGCTCTCTGCAGTCTGAAGGCACAGATCTTATAATGTGCTTGTGAATTGTTATAGAATCTTGACTCTCTTTTCACTGCTTTGGCATCTTTATGTAGGTCAATTCAGGGTCCAAGAATCAGGCTGTTGTCATGCCTGATGCATGCATGGATGCTACGCTTGATGCTCTGGTTTCTTCTGGATTTGTTGCTGCAGGAGATCCCCACATGTCACTCAGCTCAGTGATTTTTGTGCAGTTTTCTCTGTCTGATTAGTGACTACGTAATAATCTTCTTTTGTAACTTGATGGTTGACACAGGATCCAGGGAACCTTGGTACACTGCTTAGATCGGCCCTGGCGTTCAAATGGGTAAGTGACTTTGCATCCTCTTGTGCTTCTAGCTTTAGATCTTATTTGTGGGGTTGCCAAAGGTTTAAATGTTGTAAAGAGAAATTGTGAATATTTCACAGTGCATGTCATTAGCAATGTCCATTTCACACTTTATAGATGTATCATGTAGCTGGTCATGAATAGTTTTTTAATTCGTCATGCCAAAGGAATGAAATTGAAAAAACCAACCTGCTTTTATCATTTTAAGACTTCCAATTTACCTGAACTTTTGTGCAATAATCAGATTCTTATTCTTTGATTAGATCATAAATGTACGACTGAAATCTTTAAAAAAAATCTTTGTACTCTTTCTTTGATTAAATACTAGTAGGAAAAAAGGAACTACAGCATTAACTTATAGAAGAACATATGTAAACACTTGTATTCATGTTCAACAGAATGGTGTTTTTCTGCTTCCTGGATGCTGTGATCCTTTCAATGAGAAGGCACTCAGGGCTAGCAGAGGTGCGCCATTTCAGATTCCCCTAGTTTCGGGAAATTGGGCACATCTTGAAGCTTTTAGCAATGAAGTTCAAGTGAAGATGTTTGCTGGTCACCCTGCTATTAGCAACGGATTCAAGCCTGTTCATAAGTTGTCCCAAAGGCTTGCACATTCTCTGGCTGATACGCCATTATGTTTACTTCTAGGCAGTGAGGGTACCGGTCTTACGGAGAGAGCAAGGGAATTCTGTGAACTGGTAAGCATACCAATGGCTGATAATTTTGAGTCTCTTAATGTTGCAGTGGCAGGTGGAATATTAATGTTTATGCTACAATCTGAGTTAGAGGACGCCCAGACTTGATTTCAGATGCAAGTCTCTAGTAGACCGGTGCCTTAGTTCCACATGCGCAGCTTAAAGTAAATGATAGAGAGAAGGTAGAAATGAGTAAACTATATTGTAAAGTTTTCTTTTTTGTAAAATCATACTTCGTATTATATACTTTATTTTTTTTTGTAAAATCATACTTCGTATTATATACTTTAGGGTTTCTAATTAAAGATTATTACGTAGTATATGTTGAATGTAATTGATCCATGAGTTAAACAACATAAATAGTTTCATAGATTGATTTGCCATGGTCTTTGGTATACCAAGATGCTCTATTGCTCTCCATTATAGGGGCACTTTCACCAATGAGGCAATGATTGATCACCAATTCAAGTACGTGAGTACGTCTAAGTAGGAGATAAGAATCATCCACGTAACTGATTTAGGCCTTGTTTGGTGGTAGCGATTGAGGTAACGGTTAGTGTTTTGACTACTAGAAAAAATTTGAGAGTGTTTGGCAAGGTAGCGATTCTAGTAGCAGTTAGCGATAGAGGTAATGTTTAGGTAGTTTTTTTTCAAACGTTAAAAATAGTAGCATTTAGAAGTAGTGGGTAGCGTTTGACAAATTTTTATTACATTTTAAACAATATTTATATGAATTTTGATATATTTTAGTATTGCAACCGTCATTTTTTACCAAACACTCATACTATTAACCGTTACTTTGCCAGCTAACCTCTACCCACTTCTAATTAACAGCTACTCGCTACCTAACCGCTACCCGCTACTTGACCACTAAAAAACTACCCACTATCGCTACTTTTGCCACATAAGACCTTAAATATGTATAAAAATAATACTTCATCCGTCCCTTAAGATAAATACATATATTACCACATTCATAATTCAAAACATTATGAACATAATTATTAATTTCGAAAAAAATAATACAGTAAAAATGAATGCATATGTTTTCTGGTCCTGATTCACGCAATTAGAATGATAAGAAGTATGGAGGGAGTAATTCGTATTAGATTAGTCAGAACCAAAAAAAGAACAAAAAAAAAAAAAAAAAAAAAAAACTCATCTAATTCCCAATTTCTTGTACAATAAGACACTTTAAAGAAAGAAAGAAAAAAAAAAAAACGGATTATTCCTTTCAATCCTTTGACATATTCTAGAACCAAAGTGGGCCGTTGAATTGATAAAAGCTGGGCCCAAATCCAATAAAATAGTCTAAACTTCTCACCCTCTCATTATATAAGACTCTCTCTCCTCCTCGCGAAAGCATTTCACAACTACTTAAAAGTTTAAACGCCGACGTTAAGCTCTCCCTCTCCTCCAGAACCTTCTTCTTCGCTTGCTTCATTTCTTCATCGAAATCATGCCTCGTCGTTCTGGTGGTAATTTCTCTTTCTCTCTCCTTTTTCTTTTTTTTTTTCCCTTCATTTTAATTCATGTTATTACTGTATTTTAGGAATTAGGGTTTTCATTATTCATCTAGAGTACAATTTTATTTTGATTTTTTAGGGTTTTTATTGTTACTTATTTGTCAACGTTTTGATGGAAATAGAAATTGATACGGAATATTAAATGATGGAGCTTAATTTTATTTATCTATTGAAGTTTTAATTTGTAATTCGTAATGGCTCAATATTTGTATCAATAATGGTGAGAATTAGATTAAGTTGATGTTTTGACATGATTTGATTGAGGGTTTAAATGAATTATATTCTAATTATATGAGATGAGCTTAATTAGGGTTAATCTGATCTCAGCTGGTTTATGTGAAAAATTACAACTTCTTGTAAAGGGTAATCTAATCTATAAATTAGATATCCTTTGATTTGGTTTTCTCATCTTTGCTGAAGATAGCTATAGAAATGAAATATCTGCGCAATTATAAATCTGTAACTCTTTTTGAACGTTAGAAATGTGTATGTTCAGATTGAACCTGGTTAATTTCTGTTACTCAGATGTCCTGCTTATGACATCTTCGTTCGAAGACTAATACTGTTATTCAGCGATTTGTTTTTAATTGAATTTATTTTAAGATTACCAAGTTTTGATGAATCAGGAGGAAGATCTGCTCCTCGTCCCACTGCTCGGCCAGTCCGTAACCCTCCTCAGCCAGGTACATTGGCTTTCTTGTCTGCCTTCAAATTACTTATCCTTTTTTGAATAACTCAAGTAGAATTTGCGATAATCAACTGAAGTTAACTGTTGTAGCTGGCATCAAAATGCTTATTTGTAGTTTTTACTCTCTTGTATGCACTGCTCATGTGTGGTTAATTATTTGCAGCTCAACGTGCTCCTCCACCAGCCCCTGCTCCTGCTTCCAGTGGCGGCGGATCTATGCTTGGGGGTCTCGGTGCCACTATAGCTCAGGGTAAGCAAGTCATTTTGTAGATGGTAGCATGAAAAAAATTTAAGGGCATACTATTCTCAAATTTCTTATTTGTTTTCTTGTTCTTGCTTCTGTAGGTGTTGCCTTTGGAACTGGTAGTGCCGTGGCACACAGGGCTGTGGATGCTGTTGTTGGTCCTCGCACAATCCAACATGAAACTGTTGTTAATGAGGCAGCTGGTGCTTCTCCAGCTTCTGTTAACAACAATGTTGGTGATGCTTGTGGAATCCATAACAAGGCCTTCCAAGATGTATGTTATGTTTTTGTTTTACTTTGAAGTTTGATATTAAAGAATCAAGATGGAATTAATCTAACTGCAGCATTTAGCGACAGACCATTTCCTATTCAATAATAATATGTTTAACCGCTGAAAAATGAAGAAAATCAGGTTATGATTCTGGGCTGCTTGACAATCTGATTTTTGGTTTTTTGTCAATGTGCAGTGCCTGAACAATTTTGGGAGTGAAATCAGCAGATGCCAGTTCTACCTTGATATGTTGAGCGAATGCCGCAAGAACTCTGGTTCTATTAATGCTTGAAGTCTCTTCGGATTGTTTTTTATGGCCAAAATTCTTGAGACTATTGAAGCTCAAAACTTTTAGTGGTGGTTTATATATTTAGTACTGGTGGGCTGATGCCTATTGTTATGCCACTTTTTAAATGCTTTGATGTCTATGGTATCGGTGACTCCTATTCATAGTTTTAGCCTGGTGGATGTTTCAGATGCTACCAAGCTTTGTGATTGAATAAAGATTTCTTTGAACTTTCTATATTGTTACGGGATGGCTTATGTTCGCAATGGGTCGACTGTTTTGAGTGTTGATGACTTGCTTTCACAATGGATCGACGTTGTGTAGCTGTCTTATCATTCCAAGATTCAAGGTCTTCTGCACTTGTTTTGATTCTGCATTTCTGCATGGAGCTTAACTGCTCAATATATTCATTTTTGTCAATCACAAATTCACAAGAGACCAGGTTTTCTAGTGCTACAGAAAATATATTATGGAGTATGAGAATTTTGACGTTTTTTGGTTCATCTGATTTTGTACCTTTTTTTTTGGTGAATTTTCTGAACTTATTTCGTTTGAAGTTATTGTCTTAATTTATATCATTTGAAACTAATTTTGTATAAAATTATTTTACCTATATTTATTTTGTTTGAAATTAATTTTTTTGAAACTTATTTTTATTTTAAAATTATCTTTATTTACTTATATTTTCAAAAAAAAAGTTAAAATAATGTCGAACAACAAACCCGTAGTAAGGTGAATTCTAGGGTTATAACTATATTTAAAGCATATTATGTGTTTAATTTAAGTCCTAGCTAGACTTAAAGGCAATTTTGCTCCAAATTTAAGATTAACTACTACGAGGGGGCTCCAATTTATCATTTTAATAAACTAAATTTGTTTATCGAATTAATGTTTGTATGTTTTTTGTTTTCAAATTTTTATATACTTCGTAAATGATTCTTTCTGCGTTCAATTTATAATTAAGCTTTTCTTGAAAAAAAAAATATTGATTAAGGGGTTGTTTGGTTGACAAAATAAAATAGGGGAAGTGAAAATTCATGAGATTTTGTAATTTGGGTAGTTGTTAGATTGACACAAAAAAAACAACAATGAGGGAAGTTGAAATTCACGGGAATTTCCACATCTCACAAAATGTAGGAAGTAAATTACCTAAGCCCCCCTTAGTTATTCAAAATTCATGGGAATTCCAACTTTCCATTGTAACAACCAAATAACTTAAAGAAATTCCTAGGAATTACATTTGGGAAATAACTTAAAGAACTCTTCTATGGGAATTTGTTTCCCGTGTCAACCAAACAAGGTCTAAGTGTGTTTTCTTCAACCTATAAAAAAACGTTATACATATAGACATAAAGTTTTTATTTTCAAGTCAAATTTTGATTTAAGAATGTACGAGTACTCTCTCTTTTTTTGTTTTCCCCAATAACTATAACAATTTGAGTGAGCATGCTTGTCGATACATAATTTTGACAATTAATATCGTTATTTTTTTTTAAACAAGCAAGCAAGCGGGATTTTATTATAATAAATCAATTTCCGCCAAATTTGTTAAACTTTGGGGAAAAGAGGACATACAAATACGCTCCGATGAGTTGGAAGTATCCCAACGGGCAACACTATGAGCAAGTACATTCCCACCACGCTTGACATGCATACAATTAAAGGAAGTAAAATAAGAACTAGCAAAGGTCACATCCTCATAGAACAAGAAAACAGGGGCATTGCCTAGTTGCATTCCTCTAATTGCATAAACCACTCTCAGAGCATCACTCTCAAGTATCACAGTAAAATAGACCGTGGATTATGGTCTCATCTCCACCATTACACAAAGTGCAGCGACTTGTAGCTTTGATATGGCACTTGTGTAAAACATCACGTACCCGGTACCCCCAAACTACCCATTCATGCCCTCCAAACAAAATGACACAGCTTAGGGGGGCCATTTATATTCCAATCATACCTCCAGAGCTCGGTATTGTCACATCCATGGAAGAGTTCCCAAGTGCGCAAATGCCCAAGCCTACCTAGCCAGTACCCCGACTTGACAGAGTATAATCCATCCTTGGTTGGCCACCAGTACCTTTTATCGCACG